GGTGGAGGGCGTCCTGGCTTCCTCTTTGATTTGTAAAAAATGCATTACCTCCGAAATCAAACGGAAAATTACTGGGCGGGAGCAAAACATACAGAGGAGAGAAAGAGAGAGAGGGTGCAGTTAGGTGCATGGGCAGGTAAGGCCAGGTTTGCTTTGATTGGATAGGCTGGCCGATAGGCACTGAATACAGATTTCACAAAAGGTGGATGAAAATATCTGAATGAATTCATTTACAGGTGTGATATTGACTGCACCAGTTGCATTGTGTTCAATTATTGCTTTAAATAGTGTTAAAGTAATATCTGTTCCTAATTTGATAGTCTAGTATCACAAAGTAAAAGACTGTCCCGCTAAGGCAAGTCTTAAAAGTCTGAATCTACATTTCTTTGCCCTTGCAAAGCTACCGAAACATTAAGTAAGAATACAGCCGACTGAACTGACATACTAGCTTTCTTGAGTAGGAAAGATACTCCACTAAAGAAATAACGACAGATGACTGTTACAAAAAAAAAATAAGAGCGAGTTGAGATGTACATGGTACGACGGTGGGGGAGAGCAAGTGGACAGTCCAAAGAGTAAAAGCAACAAAGGGTGTGTGTGTGTGTGTGAGAGAGAAGTGCCTGGAGTTAGCAATAATAATTTATACAAACACACCTCAATAATTCACGTTCCATTTCAATGCTGGAGGGAAGATCCAAAATTCACAGAGCATAATTAAATAGAGTGAGAGAGGAGAGGGGGAGAGGGAGAGGCCAGCATTAAAGATACCCTTCTACCGGCTCCTTTTTCTTCCACCCGAGCTTTGTAAAACAACCTTTATGAAATTGTGATGGCTGAGGAGAGATTGAATTTCTCTAGCCATGTATACTGAATTGCTGCATGGAGAGATGGATCTTTACTGATGCTCCCAGTTGTTCTGATAGCAGATGCAATCTTCAATGATTTTTGATATCCTGCTTTTGAAGTTATTTGTATGAACACATGCCCACCATGGCGAGTTTATTTCCTTTCGCTGCAATGTGAATATTTCAGTTTTAGTGCAAAACAAGTGGAAACTGGAATTTTTATTTCTTACTCTTAAATTAATTTGTTTTAAAATATGTAAATTTTTTGCACTTTATCAAAGAAATTGTTTTAAAATATGTACAGTTTTATTCTTTTATCAAAGAAATACCTTTGAGAAGCTATAGATGGTATGATGGTGGGGGAGAGCAAGTGGACAGTCTAAAGAGTAAAAGCAACAAAGGGTGTGTGTGTGTGTGTGAGAGAGAAGTGCCTGGAGTTAGCAATAATAATTTATACAAACACACCTCAATAATTCACGTTCCATTTCAATGCTGGAGGGAAGATCCAAAATTCACAGAGCATAATTAAATAGAGTGAGAGAGGAGAGGGGGAGAGGGAGAGGCCAGCATTAAAGATACCCTTCTACCGGCTCCTTTTTCTTCCACCCGAGCTTTGTAAAACAACCTTTATGAAATTGTGATGGCTGAGGAGAGATTGAATTTCTCTAGCCATGTATACTGAATTGCTGCATGGAGAGATGGATCTTTACTGATGCTCCCAGTTGTTCTGATAGCAGATGCAATCTTCAATGATTTTTGATATCCTGCTTTGAAGTTATTTGTATGAACACATGCCCACCATGGCGAGTTTATTTCCTTTCGCTGCAATGTGAATATTTCAGTTTTAGTGCAAAACAAGTGGAAACTGGAATTTTTAAATTAATTTGTTTTAAAATATGTAAATTTTTTGCACTTTATCAAAGACATTTTTTTAAAATATGTACAGTTTTATTCTTTTATCAAAGAAATACCTTTGAGAAGCTATAATGACTAATTGCTTGAGGGCCTCACACACTGTCATGTGTTCAGCTTGAGAGTCTTTTGAACATTGCTCTTTGAGAAAAAATGCTCAGTGATCTTGTGCATGGCTGAAGGGACAGCCTTCGGCAGCCATATTTAAAGAAACCCTTCAAATGAAATGGCATTGATTGATTTTAGAGGCCACTGGAATTTGACATGCCCTCATGGTTTATAACAGCATGTTCTGACACACTGGTGTGTAGTGGGTGAAATGAGTCCGCAAGCACATGACACATATTTGTTGAGTCAAAGTATTATGCATTAGCCTTTAGTCTTGAGTTCTTTGTTCTAACTTCAAATGGTTTACACTCAAATTTTGTTGGTTTGTGTGTGAATGCAGGTGTAGTGGAGGTATGGACTGTAACTGTGTTAGTGACCTGCTGCTCACGCCACCAGTCCCAACCCTCTGGACACCAGGTGAGACACTGGAAGAGTTTTTTTTTTTTTTTTTGGAAGAGGTTCTGTATGAAGACCACCATCATGACAAGACAGTAGAAACAAATGCATAGATGTTACATTGATTTTCAAAGCAATGCTCTGATACTTATTTAAGCTAATTATCACACTAATAAGACCAACAGCATGACTGTGAGTGTGATATGCTATTATACTGCAGTTTTCTCAAATAGAAGTTCATATTGAGCAACTTACATTTTAGACACAATATTGACTATAGTCAGGGTAGCATCATATTTGATTTTTGACAGGAATTAAAGTGAGGCTGTGAGGGATAGAAGTGCATTCAATGGATTGTACTGTTGTTTAACAACATGAACATACCGATTGTTCAGCTGATGAAATGTCCTTCCAAAACAAACTTTCAGTAGACAAAAGCTCCATAAAACAGTTTTGAAAGTTGTGAGTTGGAGAAAAGGACCTAATCTAGGACCTTCATACAGTGTGTACGCAAGTAAATGCTCCACAGCCTTGTTTTCATCCGCATTAAATTCAATACGCCGTCTATCCTAACTAAGGTCTATTGCCAGTTTCTTTGCCTATTTTCGATCCTCCAATGATTCTGCCTCAGAAATAGTGTTTAATTCTTGAATGAATCTGTGTTTTGAACAAATCGTTTGAGCAAATTATTCAATGACTCACTTTAAGAGAGTGGTTGCATCTAGAAGTTTAGGGTGCTGACTTGTTGCCTCGCATGAAGGCTTTGCAAGCAGCATTTGTGCTTGAAGGCCCCTCACGAAACTGATTTCGGACAGGCTACACTGGACGCGACAAAGTGACCATTGCAAATCATTTGTACTTTGTGTCAGTATGTCATAAATAGAACGAGGCATCAGTATACTTGCCGTGTCGCATCCAGTGTAGACAGCATCACTTATTATAAAGGGATCTATTGACTTTTGTCGTGTCACACCGTGGCGCTCGTGTCCGGTGTAACGGTTTAATGATTTACAACAAAAACATACATTTCACATATAAACTGACCACTAAACATAGCTTTCAGATGCCATATTTATTTTTGGCTCAAATGTCACGGAATGGAGCACAGGATTATGAGATATCAAAGGCAGCCAAGGATGCATATGCTGCCTTCAAAAATCGATCAAATTAAGCAATGTCAAATGAAGGCATATCAGCAGAAAGGAAGTGAAGCTAACATTGGATTCGGAGGTGCCTTGATGCCTTCCTACCTTGGAATGCATTCTCCGATTTTTCAGCTTTCCGACGCACTCAGTCAGTAGTTTCGTCACTGAATGAATCAGTATTTTGGACAAATGAATGAAAGTTTCAAATGACTCACTAATAAAAACATCCTCTTATCGCCACCTACTGGTGTGACGATGTAACCTGCAGAAATAATCGCTTAACTACTGATTCATAGCCTCACAGTTTGTTAGCTCTGCCAAACAAGTTCAAATACAAATTCAGTTTCAAACAACAGGTAGAACTGATAATCAATTTTTGCTCCTATATGTCATTAGGCTGTTGCTACATTTTGAACAATAAGCTGGTACATATACACATTTTTCAAAAATGTGAAGTTATCTTGCATATCTTACATATACTTGTTTAAAACACAGGCTAACTACTCCCTAGGATTAAAATACCCTGTCAAAACACCAATCGCTTCATCAGTTATTTAAGACAGAAATGCTTTTAGCAAGTAACAAAACCAACAGGCCTTATCCAAATCCTTTCACTTACTCGCCTCCCTTTCCTCAGGCATCGCCTTCCCAGACTGGGCCTATAAGCCAGAATCAAGCCCAGGCTCCAGGCAGATCCAGCTGTGGCACTTCATCCTGGAGCTGCTGCAGAAGGAGGAATACCAGGGGGTGATTGCCTGGCAGGGAGACTATGGTGAATTTGTGATCAAAGACCCAGATGAGGTGGCAAGACTGTGGGGCCTTCGGAAGTGTAAACCTCACATGAACTACGACAAGCTCAGCCGAGCACTTAGGTATGCACAGCATGCATGTTTCATATTCATAGGATTGCTTTCTGTGTTAATGCTTAATTGCTGCCTTTTATTGTTCTCTCATGCAATATGTATATTCTAGATGGTATGCTTTGTTGAGTATACAGTCTGTTCAGCTGTTTTTCTGTGTGTGTGTGTTTTTATCTTGCATCTGATGGGGGGGGCATCATTTATTTTTTCCTCACATTATATCCTGTAAAATAGCATCGGCCCCTCCATGCTTGATAATATGTGGATATTTTAAGTGCTGCCTTCCCTCTGAAGAACATCAATACAGTCCAATTTGTGGAATCTTTGAACATCTAAATGGATTCTGGATGTTCTCCGGCAAGAGCCTCATATAAAGAATACTTGTCGATGCGGATTTTGAAATTAAGTCTAAAATTGATTCGTACCTCACCAAACTTATATCAGATCTCCTTTCAAACTCCAATGTAAAACTTTTAACGTTTGAACTTTGACCCTGATTGAAGTACTTCTGCACATTTTCATGCAAATACGCTTATCCATTTCTCATCCCGTCTCTTTTATTGCTCTGCTTTCCTCCCTCCTCCACCCAACCTCCCTTTAATAGACGCTGTCGCTGGCCGCTAATTGTTATGAATAGGCACAGGCCATAATTAGCCGCGTTGATTAGCCTTGCTTAATTGCTCAATTAAGGGGCACGATTGCCACATAAAATAAAAGCTTACAAATTATTGCGCCGGCAGATTGCATCTAGGGAACTTGTTTAGGCTGCCGGCCCGGGTAAGGTGAAGTCAAGCATAAAGTGTGCTGAGATTAAAGAGCCTCGCTCTCATGCACAGGTGAGCATCCTCAAAGCGCTCTGACACTCATGATGAACGTGAACGGGTGATGGTCAGGGGAAAAGACTCAGAGGACAGATCCATCTCTTATTTCCAACTGAGCGATACATGGTTGTGTGATGTTAAGGGAAATCTAAGCAGTCATCACTGTGCTGAGCAGGAAGCTGACAAGCCTGGCATTCCCGAATGAAGGCCATGACCCTGGAAAATGTTTCAGGTGGAGGAGGAGGCTGCCTTTCCCACCTTTAAAGGGATAGTTAATCCGAAAATGAAATCTGTGTCATTTATCTAAATCTATGGCTTGAAAAACAAACAATATTGAATGTCGCTGTATAGACAAAAAACTGAGACATTCTTCAAAACATATTTTTTTATGTTTCACAGAAGAAAGAAATTTGGAAAGACACAAGTGAATTAGGACAAAATTGAAACATTTAGCTTATTCTTGTATGACTCAGAGGACAGATCCATCTCTTATTTCCAACTGAGCGATACATGGTTGTGTGATGTTAAGGGAAATCTAAGCAGTCATCACTGTGCTGAGCAGGAAGCTGACAAGCCTGGCATTCCCGAATGAAGGCCATGACCCTGGAAAATGTTTCAGGTGGAGGAGGAGGCTGCCTTTCCCACCTTTAAAGGGATAGTTAATCCGAAAATGAAATCTGTGTCATTTATCTAAATCTATGGCTTGAAAAACAAACAATATTGAATGTCGCTGTATAGACAAAAAACTGAGACATTCTTCAAAACATCTTTTTTTATGTTTCACAGAAGAAAGAAATTTGGAAAGACACAAGTGAATTAGGACAAAATTGAAACATTTAGCTTTTTTTTGTATTTTTTTGTTGTTGTTCTCCATCCTGCAGGTACTACTACAATAAACGCATTTTGCACAAAACTAAAGGAAAGCGCTTCACCTACAAGTTCAACTTCAGTAAGGTGGTTCTGGTGAATTACCCACTGCTGGACATGGCCAGCTCTCCATTCCTGTTGGCCCAGAACCACTTCAATGGAGGAGCAGCAACACCGGACTGCAGCCCTGTCACCCCCGAGGTACAAAGAAAATAAAGACATTGCATGTATTAAGTGCAGTGCATTTACAGGAGCATAATATCATCAAAACAGAACTCAAGATAATGAGAGACAGGAATGAACCGCTAGGTAGAACAGAAGAATGAAGTCAGACAAAAACTTGAAGAGCTGACGTGCTCTGTGATAATAACAGCTCTATTGCCAGTGTTTAATGATTGATGGGATTTTTTTTTTTCCATACTGTATAAGGCTCTCCATATTAGCTTTGATGTGAGGGATCAGGCTATTGATTGTACAGAGTCAGTCAGTATGTAGGTATCTTTTTTAGTTTTTTGTATTTATTTTATTTCTTTTCCACTGTCTGTTTTACTTGCCTACGGTCAATGTTAAACAATAACTAAAATAGTTATCATCTGAATACCAGGGGCAAAGCATAAATTTAAATGTTCTGTTTGAATACAAAAAGACTGAGAATATGTTTTTATCAATAAAGGTTTAGTCAAATCAGAAACCTCAATTCACTTAAAATATGCACCTTAAAATATAAATGGTTTAAAAGAATAAAGAGTGGTAAATTTGCAATACAAGGTAAGTTAAAATAAGTAGGCTCATAAAATGCAGTAATAAAATTGTTTTTATTAATAATCTGACTTTATTTTAGCCGTACAAACAATAAATAAATAAATATCTACCCAGGTCATTCTATGAGAAATTTATCTGCTGTACATCTTGACTAGAGGAGACTGAAGGAGAAGGGAAAGAGAGAGCCAGAGGTGAAGAAGAAAGTCGAGAGAATGTCACAGATGGCGTTAAGTAGCCTTAAAACAAAAGAAGATATTATCCCTTTCCTCTCATCTCTGTCTGGGATGGTGTACTTATCACTGCCATTGATTGAAAATGAAAGACATGTGAGAAATGAAAGAGAAGGTGGGGCTGTCACATCAGTGGCATTTCATTAATGCAGTTTTGTTAAGTAATCCAGATTACATAGCTAATAACAGCTCTATTGCCAGTGTTTAATGATTGATGGGATTTTTTTTTATCCATACTGTATAAGGCTCTCCATATTAGCTTTGATGTGAGGGATCAGGCTATTGATTGTACAGAGTCAGTCAGTATGTAGGTATCTTTTTTAGTTTTTTGTATTTATTTTATTTCTTTTCCACTGTCTGTTTTATTTGCCTACGGTCAATGTTAAACAATAACTAAAATAGTTATCATCTGAATACCAGGGGCAAAGCATAAATTTAAATGTTCTGTTTGAATACAAAAAGACTGAGAATATGTTTAGTCAAATCAGAAACCTCAATTCACTTAAAATATGCATCTTAAAATATAAATGGTTTAAAAGAATAAAGAGTGGTAAATTTGCTTTTACCTGAATCTGGTCGAGGGCCCTCTCTGTTTGAGCGCAGTGCAGGGGCCCCAGGGCCTGATGGGGACAAGCTGAGACTGGACACTTTTCCTTTCCTCGGCTCAGGTGAGACATAAATGAAGCAGAACAACAAATTTTACAAATGTAATAGAGAAAATGATGGATTCATGTTCATTTGGAAAGGTTCTTTGTTTTTCAGAGCAGTGAAGTGAAGTATATAAGTGTGGGTTCAGATATAAGTGATTAGTTCACACTGTTATCAGTAGTATTTTTTTACATTGAGATCCCTGAAATCGCTACGTTCTTGACAAGGTTAGTTTCCATTTGCATTTTACACTTGCATTTGTGCACTAGCACTTCCTCTGAGAGTGGTACAGTGTCATGTACACCCATTTTCTTTTCAAATGCTCTGAATGTACACTGAAATACCAGTGTATCAGAATGTATGAGGGCTTGAGTATGTCAATGCGACTCCCCACTCCAAACCGCCCACCCCCACCCTTTCAACTTTGTTTGTCCTGAGGTCCTGTTCCACCCTCCTCCTCTTCTTACCCCCCTCTGCCTCCCATGTGTACCCCCTGTCCTAATCCCTTCCCAAGCAGGAAGACCCTAATTGAGGGTGCAGGCTTCAGTTTGTGGCCTGTGGGCGCCCATTACTGTGTTTTCATAAGCAAGTGAAGCCTGCCTGACTGATTCAATATTCATGTGTCTGCCAGCTACTTCTGGCCCTACGTACACACACACTCTAGCACTGTCAAATTAGCCCTGCATAGCAAATAACACAGAGAGAGGCTGAGGAGAGAAAAAGAGAGGGAGAGAAAAGTAGAGAAAGTGAAGTAGGCAGGAATGAAGAAAGAAGGAGACCGAGGAAGAGGTAAAAGGGACCATATAAAGAAAAGGTGTTTGTAATGGAAGCAAAAACATTGTGAAAACCATGTAAAGTATTATGAGTGTGAAATAAGGAATATCAACTCCCATAGGTACATTTGAGAATATTAGGATAATTTATTAATTAATTTGTGGAAAAAATAAGCTGGCTGATTTCTTATTTCCATTCTATTTTATCGTACATCTTATAATATTATATTAATAATGTAGAAAACAGAAAATTAATTATTTAAATTAATTACTAATAATTAGACACTTTAAATATTAAACTGTTTTAATGTTGATAATAACAAGAAATGTTTTTGGACCAAATCGGCATATTAGAATGATTTATGAAGGTTCATGTGGCACTGAAGACTGGAGTAATGGCTGCTGATAATTCAGCAATTCAATTAATAAATGATCATAATATTCTCACATGTAAATAAAACTATTATATATTATATTTTTTATATAATTTTTTTATATCATATGATTCATAACAATAACAACCTTTTAGTTTTCTCTCTGAGAAAGAGTTGCCTCACATTCTCTGTTCTCAGTCATGTCCCTAACATCTGATCTTAAAAATTAACACTGGTGTCCGTTCCATTTTTTTTCTTCCAATTTTTCCCACAGGGGCTCCTTGTTACGCCAAACCTCCATCCCTTTTGGGTCCTTACGCACGGAACCCCTCTTTTGACTACCCCTGGGGCTTCAACCCCTACCTCCCAGGGGCCTTTTCTCTGAACAACTGTCCCAAATTGGCCCCAGGCTCCCTCTACTCTTCACATTTCTATCCCAACCCACTCCAATCCAGCCTGTCTCAGCTGTCACACCCCTTCTCTTCGCTCTTATCCCCCGGAGACACGACCACGACCGGCACAGGGAAACAGAGACACTTAAACTTGCTAACAGTTAATTTGTTCTGTTGTGTGATTTTTGATGTCTTGCAGGTTCTCTCTTTCTCTTTTTCTGTCTATGCATTCCTGCATTTGTGAAATAATGCTGTATATTCCCATTTCATTTTTTTTCTTTTCTGGAGTCCTCCGAAGCCATTCTTTGCTCATTCAGTTCCAATAATAGAACTTTCAATTTCTGCTTTCTTCAATTTCTGATTCGCACAGTGAGACTCTTGATGCAGTTTTTGTCATTCTCAGAGTAAAAGTGCAGCACAAAAAAATTCAAAATTCGAATTTTCATTCTCTCATTTCTGGTAGGAAGCAGTAACAATGAGAAATTTTATAGCCAGTACAGCACAGTAACGGAATATGCATATCTTTTATCACACACATTTAGATTGCACTGCATTCTGGCCCTGCTGAAACGGGCAGTAAATTTGTTCTGTTTGGTGTATTTCAGACTTTTCCATAAGTTAATGCTAAGCTCTGCAATACAGTGTTCAGCTGAAGAGTGTAACACAAGCAAAATGCAATAATGGCAACACTCATAGTAATTTTAAGGCGATACATTTGTGTTGCAATAAAGCACTTTTGTTTTTTTGTGCTGACTCCAAGGGATTCAGACATATATATGGTCAAACATTGCCATCTTGTGGTTATATTTATCTAAGCCTTTCATAGTTTCTGAAGGGAAATTTATTTATTTATGTTCACTTTCAATTTTCATGTCCAGTCCATGTCTTTTAAAATTTTTTCAAAACATTTATGACCCTGAGAATGAGTGACAGAATCAATACTACTCATGCCAGTGAATATTTAAAGTTTGTATCTATTTCATTGTATATATTTTATTGTTGTGTACATTGTTTAATTACTATTACTATATGGGATAGTTGTATTGATGTCATTTTACTCTGTAACTAACTGAAGAGTGATATATGAGACAGAAAAATGGTTAAGTATATATGTGTAGTGACCCAAAGTTGACAGAGAAAGAGCACTTGTTTTTCACATACTCATAAGAATGCAGTTTAGACAGGGAAGTGTGCAAAAAACTAAAATCTGCTCTTTCTAATTGTGCCCTGTGGAAACTTTCCCCAGATACCTCAAAGTAGATGATCCTGATGGACTGAGTTATGCCACTAGTCTCAAATTTCAATAATTCATTCACCCAGTGATGAGGTACTGTAATTAATCAAGTGTGAATAATATTAGTTGCAGCATCTGCTAATTTCTTTAACCAATGTTCATTCTAATGTTTATTACATTTGATATATGAACATCCGATTTGAATATAAAAACAATACATAGGAGCAGAATGACACACTCTGATTAGATTACCTTCAAATACAATTCAGACAAGTTGGGGAGGGGGGGGGTAAAGATAACATTTTATACAAAAGCAAAATGCAAGTAAGATTTTATCAAACTATGGCCACAATATTTCCAGATATTCTTCTGATTCTTTGGTAAGTTATCTCATTCTAGATAAGAACTTGAAAGAAGTTGTTTCATGACAGTTGGTGCCATTGACTTGCCCGTACTAGAGGAGATTTCAGCTGTACATAGGACTTTGTGTAGTTGTTTGTACACATTGAAAAGAAAAAAAACATTTACCTTACAGTAAAGATTTTCTTTGTTTAATTGTGAAATTTAAAACAGAAAGGATTACTAGAACAAAAATGAGCAAAGAGTAATATCTTCAAGAGCAATAAACAATATTCTTGAGATTCAGTTGTGAGAGCATTGGATTTTTCTCTGGAGTAAAATTTATATGATTTCAGATCAAATGCATTCCATTAAAAAATAGCTGTACTTGTTTCTGTCTGTGTAAAAAGCATCATGAGGTGTCCTACATCCTGTCAGGTACCACATTCACTGAATTTCAGAGATTATCTAGAAAAATGGAAGTGCAAAAAAGACCTTCATAGATAGATAGATCATATTTCCTGCGCATACAAACATCAACATGAGTGAAGTGTATTTTTAAAAAAATACAGAAAATTGCAAGCTAGGATGGTGGAGTTTCACGGTACATTTCTACCTCCAAACACAGACTTAGCACATTCATAAATCGTGAATACATGTGATGCCACGGGGGGCCGTAGTGTCCCTGAACACGCATTGAAAAGCTCTGAGAGCCATTCAAATGAAGGGGAACAAATTTAGTGTAACACTACACGGAACCATACGGGGATACATGAAACGATTTTTCGACATCTTTCGGCCTCTGGTGGTCGCAAGTCACAGGAAGAGGCAGTGAACGGCAAAAGTTACGTTTCCAAAAAAAATAAAAATAAACCCCCCCGCTTTGAGTCGAGTGCACTCGGGGATCACTGAACATATTTAATGATCATCCGCACATAAAGAGGAATGATTTAGTCCTGCTTTTGAATCTGCTGTCAAACGTCGCGCGCTTGAATTGGTCTCACTCTCCACTTCCGCGTACAATGTTTTTTTCCAACGACATACAACAACTTTAGAACAGGAAGCCTTCAGAGGCGCTTGTCACTTCGTCTCACCTTTTAGGAGAGGTAAGGTTTAAGATTAAACATATAGATTAAGGGATCTGATATGATTTTGAGGCATTTAATTGTCTTTTGGTGCGCGATGATGTGATTTGTCATCAGAGGGAGCATATTCGCATGCTTGATTAGCTTGATCGGCGAGCGATTCAATCCTGCCAGTTTGTTTTTGCTCAGCGAGAGGAATGTTGTTTGGCTACAATGTAAGCTTTGCCAGCATTACTGTTATTTCCGTCGACCCCGCGCCTCTGTTTTTCAACAGAGACCGAAGATTTGATTTGCAGCTTCTTCGCGAGATGTTTTGAATGAGCAACTGTCACAGCTAAACAGTTTTGGTTGAATTGAGTCGACAAGATATAAGGGCTACACATGCAAAAGCAAGGTCAACATCACCACCTTTTGCGTTGTTATTGATTTTTCAGCCTTGATAAGCAATAACAGGATGTTAGCTCTATACTGTAAATAATTTCATAGATTTATAATAAGCTATATCAGTTGTAAATGTAAAGCCTTTCAGCTAACAGAATTCTTTTGTTCATGAATTCTATAAATATTTAAGCAATATAGAGAAAGCTGTGTTGTACTGCATATTAGCACGGCTGAAATTTCACCCTATTGTGATTTATGATATTGCTTTTATAAACAGTTAGTACACAGGTAGACTAGTGTATATAGTAAGTTCTTTTCAGGTAAAATTAGCCCGTTCTTATATTTCTTGTACTAAAAACTAACACCGTTCCAAAAGAAACCAGAGCAACAGCTCTTACGTGTTTCTAAGCATCAAACAAAAAGAAAGCTTGGTCTGGAATCTGGATCAGTATTTCTGAAAGGAGCGTATTTCCCCTTCTTGTTCCAAGCCTTCTGTAATCACTGGGCTTTAATTCCATGTGTTTTGCATTTGGCACTCACTGAGAGAAACCCAAGTGAAGAGAATGCACAGGTGCTATGACCTTTAAAAACCTGCTAACTGCCACAAGCAAACTCGCACTGCTCTGCTTCTATGCGTAAAAGAAAAAGCACTCACACTTTAACTATCAGAAAACATGCTCCTTGCTTTGTTCCAACTTTACACCACTCACATACTGGGGTCTGTGTCCCTGTGCTGCTGTTTTAAATAACTGCACTTTTGAAACACCACTCAGCCAATCAAATTTAACCCTTAAAGTGCCTGCTGTGTAGGTGGACCCATAGTAGATTTTACTGATACCGATAGCTAGGTTGGACCACACTAGTCAATACCGATTAATCAACCGATAGTTTTTAAAATTGATACTGAATGAAAAATAAAATTGTGCTTTACTATAAAAAAACAGTACTGAACCATACTTTATACATGAATACAAATATTAATATTAAATATTACTTAAATATTGATCATTAAAGTTAGTTCATAGTTCAGCAACTTAAATTTGAAAAAATTTAAAAATATATTAGTAGATGTTGAAATTAACGCACTCTAACTAGATGGCCATCTTTAAATATCTACACGAAGGCCAAAGCATTGAAATTACAAGCATATTGATATTGTATGTATACTCTCACAGTTTAATTGCTTCTATTCTAGAACACTTGATGATTATCTAATCAAAATAACAAAATATGGTAGATGCACACTGGACAAAAAGTTGTTGGACAACTCGCAGGTATCGGGTCACACACACCGGACGTGTCGAGTTCAGTTCAAACGGCAGTCTAAAACAGTTTATTTCATCACCAAATGGGCAAAAGTTCACTTCAAGAATTATTTTTTTTAAAAATGGCATAGATGAGTTAGAAGTTTGGTGTTTTAAAAAAAACAGAGCAAAACGGAAAGAAGAACCGCAATCTATATATTACAGCTCTCTATGTGAAGCATGCAAACTTTATTGGAGCAACTGAAAGACCAACGTTTCACTGAAAAATACACAACGTTACAGCCTAGGGTGAAGTCATTATGTACATATTTGGGACAAATATAATGTCATTTAATGGAAAACTGAGTGGCGCTCTGTGACGCGGCAGGATTTCTTTCAGCTATATTTTTATCAATGTGCTTTTTCGTGTCACTGCTTTAAATCTGCAACTTCGCTGGCTAACAAATGCATTCATGTGACCAGCTGGATATAAACTGGCGCAAATAGATGGTAACAATCGTGACATTAAACAGTTGGGTCAGATTTGCGTGTGTTTTGGTCACATTGTTTTAACCGCTTGAGGTGCTGCTAATGTTTGCATCTTCTCAGCCTTGATAGCAAACATACTGCTGTCCTTTTCTCCACTAATGCAGCATCTAGTCAACAAATTAATTACTTAGTAATGATATGAAACCATGCTCTACAGTATAATGTGTACACACTGTTTAGTTGTCGATGTTTTAAATCCGCATCTGAAGTGTCCGCTCTGTGCAGAGCGCGCCGTGTCACGTGTCAAAACAAACAGCTAGAGGCATCAGTGATTCCACCTCTAGAAGCCGCTCTTGTATTGTATAATGACAGCAGACTTTCTCAGCCGCTCCAGCAATGGATGCAACCTGGAAAAACTATCGGCATAGATTTTTGCTGATAGTTCCAGCAGTCATCTATCGGTGCCGATTAATCGAC